AAATCTCCCAAAGATTGAAAATATTCGCTTAATAAATGAAGTAGCACACTTAAACTAAAGAGGGCAAAAAGGATCATATTCTCATACTATAACACAAGTTTTCGATATTATTAACCAAATAATACTTTATAGTATGAATAGAAGATCATTATATAAATGTGTTGCACCCCTGACCAAGGAAATATGGATCTGAAACACAGACAGATCCTGTAAATGATAGATTCATTTGACATAAAAATGGTCTTTGTGTCTTTATTTTCCTAAAAGGAAAGCAAAAAATTGAATACAGATGAAAGTTTTTTTTTTTTCAAGTTGGGGAGCAAAACATCAAATGTTGCACTCCTGACATAAATTGATTTGCACAGATACTGACTCTCATTTTTGCTGTTTGTGATTCATATAACATTTTAAACCTTTAAATGGTATATCAGTTAATATTTACATTTCCAAATATTTTTCCTTAAGATTCTTTGCAAATTGGAAAAAAAGTTCACGTTCTCATGAACTACCGTGGGATGAGTAAGAATATTTCCATTGTGATGTAATTGAAGTAAAAAAAATAGTGCAAACTTTTTTTTTTCAAAAATGATCTTGAATGACAAAAATATGTAGGAAGTCATCAGAAAAATAATGTAAACATAAGATATGAATTTATTTTTTTGAGAATTCATGAGGTATATGAACTACAACGCTTCTCGCCTGCATATTTACATTTGTATCATGAAGCGTTAAAGCGTTTCATGAAATATGCCTGCGTGAAGCGTCATGTCCTCATGAATTCTCAAAAATTAAATTCATCTTTTAATTGTTTTACAATTTGAGAATTCTTTTTTTATTATTATTCACTCGTCATACAGACTTTTGAAACTAATTTTTTGGGACATCATTACATTTTTTTCTGTTACACTCCTGGTATGACATTTTTTTTCAGCATCAGTCGCGACTGTAACTTGGTCAAGCAAAAGTCAGTACAGTCTGAATTTAAAGTTCAGTATATTTAATTAGTCCCCTACCGGTGAAACCGGAGGGGACTATAGGTTTCCTCTGAGTCTGTCCGTCCGTCTGTCTGTCTGTCTGTCCCTCTGTCTGTCTGTCAGTCTGTCCCACTTGGTTTTCCGCACTTTTTTCTTAAACGCTTGCAGATATTGAGCTGATTTTTGGTATGCGAGTGTATCTTGATGAGTTACAGATCAAGTTTGCATTTCGTTCCGCTTCATTGATTTTGGACGGAATTACGGCCTTTTCAATTTTAAAGGGTTTTCCGCAATTTTCTTCTAAACGCTTGTAGATATTGAGCTGATTTTTGGTATGTGGCTTTACCTTGATTAGTTATAGATCAATTATGGCATTTTCAATTCTTAACGGGAACCAGATTACACTTGCCGGTAGGGGACTAATATTGCTAATGCAATACTCTCAGAATGCTTGTTTTATCAGCAAAATCTTTATTTCCTACATAAATCCTAATTACTTATTTACAGATCTTCCAAACATATGAAATTTTCAAAATGTCACAAAAAGGTGTTGCACTTCTGTCATTTGTAGCATCCTTCGGGGCATAACTTTTTTGTGTCTAAAGATATCAATGGGGTAATTGGCAGGCATTTAGTCAGTATCAAAAGACACATGCTGAAAAATTGAAATTGTTCGAATAGTCTGATTTTTTAGTGCAGGTTGATAATTAGGTGTATGGTTTTTTTTTTCAATTTACCCATATACATTTCTTCAGAACAATTGGTGCACAATAGTCATACTAGTTAAGATATTGAATAATTGTTATAATTTTTGGGAGACTGAAATAAAAATAATGTGTACACATGGGAGTGACAAGATTACAATTGTAAAGTAAGAATAATTATTATAATTTTGAGGCGAAATAAAAATAATGTGTACACATGGAAAGACAAAATTATAATTGTTAAGTGAGAAAAATTATTATAATTTTACTTTAGGATGAAATAAAGATAATGTATAAACTTGGACAGACTATAGATTATAATCGTTGCTGGAAAATGATAATGTTGTTAAAAAAAAGTAAGATTATAATGTTGTAAAAAAGCAAGATTTTTATTTTTAGGTGATTTTTTTTTTGGGGGGGGATAAAAAATAAAGATTACGCATTGGACAAACAAGATTATTATTGTTGCGGAAAAATAATAATACAGTAAAAAACCCGATTTTTATTCTTTAGGTGAAATAATTATTTTGGTATACATATATCGGAAAAAAATAATAATAATGTGGGGTACCCTACGGCTTTCCGTATCACCATGTACCACAATTATGTAGTATTTTTATTATTATATATTTTTTAACGTACAGAAAAAGAAAGGTAACTCTTTTTTTAATACAAACTCAATGTAATATTCTGACACAATGCTTCAGTATGTTTTCTAATATAAATTTATTAGGTATGACACAAAATGTTTTTATACCTCATATTTTTAATTTTATGTTGTAATAATGAATTATAACTGTTTCTTTTCAATGTGTTTCATTTTCTTAATATTATGATAAGACATAAAATTAATTTCTGAGAAAGGAAGCCTGCCTCGCTTTTCTCATTGGTATCTAAGGCTTTTATTGTTGAAGAATATTAATAATTGGGATAATAATAATAATAATAATAAAAATTTTTGGTGAAATTTTGAACAGCGGGTCATTAGCCCTTTTTACACAGAAGTAGCGAGCGTTGAGAGATTGCCGAGTGTTTCAAAATTGGCCAAATCTCTCAATGATCTCTCAAAAGTCTCTGGTCTCTTCAAAGTTTTGACTTCACCCAAAACAATCTCTCAGCGATTGCAAAGGTAATCAGTCTCTCAAAGAATGCCCAAAGAGCGCAGGAATATCTCTCAATGACCTCTTGGATCTTCCACTGATCTCCCAGAGGTCTTTCAAGAATACCAAATGTTTTGAACGCCTCAAGGTAGAGATCTATCTGACAGTGCAAGGAGACTACCTGAGCTTACTAGAGACTGCACCGGAGATCTCTAAAAGACCAAGTCTCCACGAGCGATAAATGAGAGATCTTGGAGACGATGTGAGATATGGGAGAAATTGCCCCGGCAACATCCTTGTTTTAATCCCACAAGCGCATTATAATCTCCTTTTAAGGCACACACAATTTTTTTCTTTAGAGGTGTATTGAAGAATGCACATGCGCTGAATAAATATAGGTAATCAGAGATTACAGAGCTCACCTCAACGAATGTTGTCTTAAAATAAGGCAAAGTCCCCATACTAAACTAATAATCAAGGGTGTACATCCCAAGATGCACTGAACATTTATGCAATTTTGATCTGATGGGAATTGCAATTACTTGGGAATGAACTTATTAAAAAACTTCAAAAACTATTCACAAACCCAGAAAATGCTATTCGAATCCAGCATCTGCAGCAAGTTTGAGAGTGTTCATCCCTTGATGCATTATCCATGGTTTGGTTTAGATAGGTCTTATAGTTTCTTCACTTTCTTGGTAATGAACCTGCGCCAAAAACTTAATCTAATCACTCATTTGGAAAATGTAGGTCAAATTCAGCATCCGAAGCAAGCACAGTAGTGTGCATCCTTAGATGTATCATCCATACAAGTTTGGTCAAGGTACGGTAGTTACTTTTAAAGAAAGAAACTGCTCCCAAAAAATTAACTTGGTCCCTCATCTGAAAAATGTAGGTCAAATCCAGCATCCGAAGGAAGTCCAGTAGTGTGCATCCTTAAATGTATCATCCACACAAGTTTGGTCAACATATGACTTATAATTACCTTAGAATGAACCTGCCCCAAAATTTTAAGCAGGTCACTCATTCGGAAAATGTAGGTCAGATCCAGCATCCGAAGCAAGCCTGGTAGTGTGCATTCTTAGATGTATCATCCATACAAGTTTGCCCAACATAGGCTTATAGTTACTTGAGAATAAACCTGCTCCAAATACAAGAACTGCTCCAAAAACTTTAACCTGGGATGCCGACGCAAAGGGTATCACATAAGCTCCCCCAACTTGAGGTGAGCTAAAATGCATAATTTTTGTTTATAAAACCTCGACGATTACACAGTTCTAAACGGACTTTTCGAGACCTTCAGTGATGGCTGAGAGATTTAAAGTTTTAAATCACCCAAAGATCTCTCAGTAATATTTATGTGTGTGTAAGGGGTCATTTAAATGTTCATAAACAGTATTTACACAAATAAGAAATTATTTCCTACATTTACATATTCAAATCAGGTCTCTCGATCTTGCTTCACGATACGTAAAGAACATTGTGTTGAATTTCATAAAATAAAAAAAGCACGTGCTTCACTACTAGATTATTGTAAAGGACCCAAAAATCCTTAAAAAAAAATAGTATCGAGATTTTCTCCTTGCACTCACTGACTGCAAAACTCGCCTTCACTTTTTAACGGCTTAACAAAAACAAACAGTCTTAATATATATGAAATGACAATACCTGTCATTAATTATGTATGTGAACTCCACATGACCCTACACATCGTTTTTTAAAGATCTTGTCACCAGTTGTTTATCAAAATACATCTCTCTCTATATATAAACATTTATGTGTTTGTGTACTTGTTAATTTTTAAATAACAAATCATCGATTGTATATATAAAAATATCACATAAACATGCAATTAATAACAGGTCCACGACTTTAATTAAAGAAGAGCTATACTCAAGGCGCAGTATCATTTTCTTCTGTAATAAAATAAATGTTGTCAATAGATCAATGCTATTTTCGCACCATGACAGCAAAGCGCTCGTTTGAATGGATTCGGGGAATCGTAATACATCTGTTATTATGTTTCAAGGTCGTCCGATTGCGTCAGATACAATGTATGCATACACCCGACCTATGATGATGTCTAGTGATCAATAGTCGAAAGTGGTAAACCGCCCCCGTCAAGAAGGCATGAAACGCGGAATAACTCTTAATATCTGCACCCCCCCTTTCTCTATCATTCTTTCTCTTGACCTCCTCCATTTATATCAAACTCTGACATATAAGATTTAGTTTTTTTTTATTTTTAAGCCTGTAAACCACAAGGCATGACAATATATAAATAATAATGACAACAAAATGAAAGCAATAATTTCCACCAAAATTACAAACTCAGCACTACATTAACTCCAAACACAGTCAAACAGTTAGGTAACAAAATATAATCTGACCAAAGTTCACATACTCGTATGATTATAAGTGATTAAATGTTACAGCATCATTCTAAGAAAACCCATTCAATCCATAAGCCGTGAATTCATTATGTGATGAAAATGTTTCACTTCCAAGTTACAGATATAAATGGTTACTTATTTCAATATCAAAAGTCGGTTAAAGATTCAGACAGCACTACAAATATTGTACTTGGTATACTGATAAATCAATTTGCAAATAAATAAGAAAAGTTATGAAGAATTCTTGATGGAAATTATTCCCTCACAATGACAAAATTACTCAACAATTTTTGTTAAAAACTCATTTTAACATTTTGAAAGACACTGGATATTTCTAATGAAATAGTATTTTCACCATTTTTATCAGTCGTTTTTCATATTAGAAAATGTGGGCTTGACTTAGGTGAATGCATTGATGTGCTATAGACAGACATAAACGATACATGCAATATAAGATGATAATCTACTGATACATTTTAAAACAGGATAGTGCTAGCATAGAATCTAAACAACAAAATGACTCATCTTACATCACAGTAGCATGTGCAGAGTTACAATCCAAAAATACAGATACAAATAAGCACAAGCTCAAACTGAAAGACTTATAATACTTAGTTAAAAAAAATAATAATGAAGGAATAATAGATCAATTCAGAGTTATCTCTCTTGTTTTATCAGGTTAGTATTTAGAGGTGTATGTATACAAACAACAAAATCAATCAATGTTCCAATTGTCCCATCAAGAGGGCTAAAGGCAAGGAAATCAAACTGAACACAGCAAATCCTGGCCATAAACATAAAATGTACAGTTCAGAAAGTCTGAAGTCAAGAACGTTTCAGTAAAAATTAAATATTTCTTGATGGAAAAACATCAATTTGCTTTCTCAAACTGAGGCAACATTCAAATGCAACATATCAATAACTATGAATGCAGAGACAGGCATGTAATTCATGTTTTAAACCAAACATTTCCATCTTTGTCATATTTCTGTTTCTCAAGAAAGTCATTTACCATTTTGGGAAAATCATATTTAAATTCTTTGTTGTCGTTTTCATTACCTGAGTTATAAAAAGACTTGTGAGATCAATGACACACAAGATGCACTTGTTTCTACCAGGCAACACACAGTCTCGAGTTATGATTTAAATGAACATGGGTCTCAACAAGATGGAACTAATTCACCAGCATTTGTGATTTTTATCATGATGGAATGCCATAAGGTACAGTAATATGAACAAGCTGTTCAAAAACTAAGTTAAGCTTCTATCCAGCAAAGACAGTGTGTAAAAAGCAATGCTGGAGACTCCATGTTGAAGAATTCCAACCTTGCTTCAATATCTCATGAATTGGTCCATATAAAGATGTGCTTTTTCCTGAGAGAAGTGAATGAGATGAATGTGAACACAAGGCCATCCTACTTTCTACATTAAACACATGGAGAGAAGCTCTAGTTTACAATATCAGCACAGCTTCCAATCAATCCAGGACTCTCTCTCTCTCCTCTCACAAAAATGAGGAATACACCATGTCACAATATTTGGAGTTCCCCAAAGAAAATCTTTGCAAGCAACAAAGGTTCTGGTCTGTTTGTGTGTCTGTAAAGCCCCATTTTTCACTCAGGCCCATCCATTATCTTTGATCATGTGTGCAAGTTCAATGATAAATTTTCCCTCCTTGTATTTCTGACTAGATTCAAAGGCATGTTCCTGAAATATTTCATACTTTGATGAATGACACATAAATGTATAGAATTAACACAGCTAATTCTTCTAAAATATAAAATTATCAACAATTTTTCCAATGATAGTTTTATCATTTTATGTTAGACACATTAATAAATGAAATTTTTTTGAAAGCAAAACATTTTCCCTCTATTCAATCATCTTATCTTTTCTTTCACTTTTTACAAAATCAAGGTTCTTTATTATGAAGATTAATGAAGAAAATAACCTTGGTAATTTGTTCCTACTGAACATGTTTGTTTTTTTCTGTTTTGTATAATTGTGACATAGCTTACATATTTCCATCCTAAGGTGGTTTTACAACATTCACAGAAGATATCTGCCACAGCATGTAGTCCTGTCAGTAAAACTCGCTCTTCTGCCGGGCCACATCCAACATTTACCCTAAAAATAAACAGCCAATCATCTTCATACAAAAAAAATACCAACAGATTTGTCTTCAGATCTTCTTACTCAGTGCATAATTATCTATCATCTTGTTACCTGGTTTACATGATTTAACTTTTAGGAAAAGTTCCTGTAAACTATTTCTCTGATATCAATTTGTTTTGAATCACTTCTTTACAAGAAACTGATTGAGAAGCATTTTTCCCCCACATCAAACCAAATGTTTATAAACAAAGCTGATAGCTTTCAGATTTTTATCCTTGCTTTGAAAACAGACAGTGGATATAAATGACAAGGATAGATATATTTTATCAGTGGTTTTAACATAATCTTAATGACCTCCCTTGACAATTCTAGGTCAACCTTTGACCTACAAATGTCCATTACCAGATGATTTGTGAGAAGTCTGAGTCTATCATGGTAATTAATTGAACCCTAGATCACCAGGCAGACAACAAGGTCAAATCCATCAAATCACAGTGTCAGATAATATTCAGCGCTGATCATCATATATTGTAGATGATTTTATAGTCTGATCTCATTATTAAGCGAAGAAACAAGTTCCAATATCAAAACTTTGAACAAGTTTATAAGAGGAAAGCATAGGAAATTTTAATAGCTGTTTTTGTTCTAATTTTTTTTTCTCTTCACCAACCATTACGAATGTCTTTTGATGTAAAATCATATATAAAAAAAGGTATTCACATGTACAGTCACAATTAATTATTCCATACTTTCTTTACATAAAAAAGTAAAGTTTGGAAGAACTGCAAGCTTCTCTATAGAACAATAAAAGCTAAGATTCTCGATTCAAGGCGCCTTTCTCCGAGGGTCTGCTTATTGATTCTCCATCAATGTCACAGCAAATTTTCTCATTTATTCCAGTAAGATTTTCCAAAGCTCTTTTCAGTCTTAATGTTCAGTTTTATCAAACAAGCTGTCAGTTTTCAAGTAATAAGTGTTTTCTGAGGTGATAACTATAATTTCCGACTTAACGGATTTTGGGAACATAAAGTATGAATACTTACACCGAGTTGAAAAGATAAGCTCTTCCTTGGCTTCCTTGGAAGGACTGGAAGAACAAAATATATTGTAGGATATTACAGGATTAAACAGCTTCATAACAGTACATGTTGTAGGATATGACAGGATTAAACAGCTTCATAACAGTACATGTTGTAGGATATTACAGGATTTATAGGATATCACAGCTAGGATTTCACAGTACATATCAGTGCATAATGTATATAATAGGATATTACAGGATTTAACAGTACATATATGGCTTCAAGAACCTCAACAGGAAAAGATTGTAATTTTTATCTCTACTTAATATATAATAACCATACTAGATATAGGAAATTAAACAAGTAAGGACTCCTGCACTGAACAGACATGAATTAGGGATTTGTTTTTGTTTTTCTTGTTCCAGCTTTTCCATCAGAATCCTAGCTCTTTTAAACAGAAACATTTAAAGATTATCCAAATGAATGCCTCTCATATAAAATCCCACATACTAAGCAAGAATACATGAAATCTAGAAAAAAAAAATCTTGATATCTTGAACATGTTAACAACCTGCCAGCAACATAGCTAAAGTTTAAAGGAGAAGGAAAAATAAACAAATTGTGTCATCAATTCTTGCTGTTTAAATAGTGTAAATTGTTGTAATGGGAGCTAAACATTAAAACTCCCATGTCAACATCTGACGGAATGAGTTGCGGTAATCTATATAAAATTTCACCTTTGATTTGTATTTTAATAAAGTCTTATGATAAACAAGTCTGAAACTACAGGGTTGACACTGTGTCCTTGGCTCCACAATATTTATAGTTATTCTGATAAATATTATCATAAGGTAAGTCTCTTGTCAGTGCTGCAAGATAAACTATATGACTGGAAAGTTCTGTTGTCTATGTTCAAAGGGACTGTCTCCTTGGTTCAACAAGTTCATGTTTTGACGTGTGCACTATCTATACTTTGACACATGATTAGTCAGACCATGTAAATAAATACCCTCTGTAAGTGGTGTGATCACAGTTGCATATTGAAATTTTTCTTTATTTCCCATTTTTCCACCTCAGCACAAGTATACATAATCTACATTTAATTGTTTGTGTAATTTACAGCATGAAATCTTAACTAATTATGCTTTGATAGATGTAATATGTAGGCAATGAGGAAACAATGCATTGATATCAATGTCTAAACAAATACTATCTTCAGGCCCTACTATTAAGGAGGAAAACAAGTTTCCTTCTTAGGTTTTTATCATCAATCATGTAATAAATGTACCTGAGTCTAGAATCTGCTAAATTATTCCAAAATATTATTGGAATTTGCAAAGAGAAAAGATATAAAACTGGCATTCAAAGCTTCTAGTTTCATATAATGTTTCTCAATGTATAGCAAATCCCCTTTTTTGTCAATAAAGGGGTGCATGAGAATTTAAGACAAGTTGTTGTGAAGGAATCAGGGAAGGAAGAAGCTTTATCTTGTTTTCCCCGTTGTTACCTGGTTGTTACAATAAAACAATATTGTCACAGCAGGAAGTTAGACAACAAACATTTTACAAGTGACTGTCATTTTAAACTTGCATTATCACGATTCACCTGCACACAAGCTAAAATTATCTGTCATTAACAGTTCTGTCATAAATGTCATCGTCCCTAGACCTATCATTTATATACATATATTGGTATTATCACAGTATACATATATAGGCTCCCCCAGTAATATTGGATCTGCCACTGTTTGATATAGCTCTGTTCTTTTGTTATCATGTAACCTCTTTACATCCATGGGATTTAAACCAAAGAAAAAAAAAACAAAAACATTTACCCCTAATGTTAGCAGTGGGACGTAATTTCTGGCCAACTGTCTGTCTTGCTTACACAAAAACAATAAAAATCTAATTTACTTCCCAGTGGGGCAATGCCTTGTTTACAAAATTCTTCACTTTACTGCCAGAAATACTTATGTGTATGGAAGTAAATTGTGAGTAACAACACTTTGTGTAGATGTTTAATATAGATAACAGTTATCACGATTTTGTAGCAAACACATAAGTGTTGTATCATTAGGACAGTATTGTATACAAACAAAAAACCACACTGGCTATTCTGGCAATTATACTGGTAGCTGATTAATCACTATAAAGGAGTAAAAAAAAGATTTTCAATTTAAGAAAGCAAAAGTAATGATAATTGATAGTTGTTAATAAGATACATTTCTAAGTTCATATTGCTCAGCCTCCCTGCAGAAGATTTACAGCATGAGATTAGTTACTTATAACGTACCTTTGAGATAAGTTCATCATGATTAGCCAGGTGAGCCCGGCAATGAACACAGCTATACTTTCGGTGGCATTCGTTTGGCAAATAAGCTTGAAAGGTTTTCACCATCTTGGAAAATAATAGACATTAAAACTTTATGTGCCAGTTTCAGGTATCCCAGAATTCTTCTTCTCCGTCTCTTTGTTTGATGCTGTAGTCCTCTGTCACTGCTCATTCACTGGACAGCTGACAAACACAAATACAGCTTTCCTCACCTGGAAACGAAATCAATATACCTATCATCTCAGTCAATAGAACAATTCTACCCTCGGCCTCAGCGTCTTAGGGTAGAAAGTTCACTGGGATATTAATCATGAATCGGTTCTCATACAGTAGTAATATTCTGGCAGTGTTCTGTCACATTTAGTCATAAGCCATGACAAAAACAGATTCTCTATACCAACACCTATGATAACCGCCTGCTTACCAACTAATCACTAGTAGAGGTCTAAGTGTTGTATGTGTTAACTATATTGTCAATACTTAACAGGTGCTCCAATAGTATCAATGCAGGAACTGGCTGTCTGCTACAAAATCTAATCCAATCACAAACAGGAATCAAATTATCTGGCTAATCCTACATGTATGTCTTTGAAATACTGTTCCAATATATCACCAAATACCCTCCAACTGCAGTTACTCATAAATCAGAAGTAAGGATTTACACTTGAAAACTGTCAAGAAAAACCTCAGTGCAAGTACAAATGCCTTAAATTCTGTCAGACAGGATGTTAAGATTGCAGGAGACAACTGTGAGAGTTCAGGTCTAAGATGTACATCTGCAGAAAACATGCAAAACAACAATAACAATTTCCAGCCTTGCCAACATCTTGTGTACCTTATATTATGCTGCCTAGTGCCTTTGTCTGATGCTTCAACACCAATATCTGAAGAATGTACCTTTTGATCAAGCACCTGCAATTACTGTGCACATAATCAATTGCCAATACTCTAGTTTTTCTGGATGGCTGCTGAGAGATGAACTGAAAGCATAATATTAGCAGCAGACACATATCCTTAAAATGATAAGAATGGATGCATTCCTACAGAATTTTATAATTGCATTATTTCAAACTGTGTGCCTGTAGATTTTCTTATATGCTCACTGAATTTTCTCTCTTTAAGTGTATTTAAGAGCCAATAAAGTGAAACCTTAAACTGAAAAAATTAATTGTGACTTTAAACACTTGACATTACTTCACCTATATCCATGGAAATCAAATTTACTTAGAGAAATGATGCATGTGCATACAGGCACACATGCAGCATATCAAATATAGATTAACCCTAAGAAAACGTTACCATACAGGTTAATGAGCAAACAATCTACATGTACCGTACTATTGATGTAATATTCTGCTTTAGTGAATTATTATATAGAAAGAGAAAGTAATTTTCAATGTACATGTATTCCTTTTCATTTACACTCATCATCACAATATCTCTAACTTTCAAATACTGAATCACTCCTCCAGGACAGGAATAATTAATCGATACCCATACAAAAAACAAATACTCTAAAATTAAGAGCATTTTAACAAGACCTCTTGACCTTAAATTACAATTAACCCCTAAACTAAATTGACTTTTCCCCCAAAAACTGAAGGATTATGAATCTCTTAAATGTGTGGGTGTCACAACAGGATGGACCGGGGTATACTTCTTTGTCCTTTACTGGATTGTCTTTCTAAGACTGATCTAATTCATGTATACAGACATTCATTGGATCTAATTGCTGATCAAGTTTTAATTTGCTAGACAGGGGATCTCTTATGTTGATGTACTGAACTCTACAAAGGTTAATGACATAGGTGAACAGTGCAGCCTATTGTCTTGTCTAAGAGAACAAAAACAAGATATTTAATTCATTAATGTGGGTTCAATAATAAAATGGGATTGAAAAAGAACAAAAACAAAAATCAATTTAAACAGTCTGAATGGGTTGTTTATCCAGAACTGTTTAACTGTGATACAGAGCAGAACAAAAGGATCACCTCTGTTATAAGTGCAAACCATGCACGAACAAAGTACCAGCAATATCCACGTCTTTCCAGGGAAAAAAAAATATCATTTTTTAGCTTACCTACGTCATGTATATTTTTTTCAGTTTTCTTTCTAAATTTTTTTTTTTATGATTGAGATATTCATTTTTTGTATTGATTGTTTTAAATTATGTAATTTTATCAGTTGCCCTCTTTATGACTCATTCTTGACAAGGGTATATAAAGGCCAGATGAGTCAGGTTGTCCTTTAAAGACTCAGTTTTGTTGCAGTAGCAGCAAACATCAATAAATCTGTCAGTTCTCCCCTCCTCTTCATAAGGATGTAAACACTTTTAAACTGTGAAGTGTATTCCTTCTTTGTCTAAGTCAATTCAATCATTTACCATTCCTTCAAGTCCTTTTTAGCGATAAAACAAGATTTATGAGTCAGCCCCAGAAGCCAAAAGACCAGTCTTAATTGGGTTTATATCTTATTTCCCTTAAAATTGGATAACCTGTCTGATAAATCTGTATATAGCCACTCTATATATAGGAGACCAAGCTGGGGGCATTCAGGGAGAAACATACTGTTGAAGGGTATTGATTAGAAAAGTCTCCCTAGATCTTATACCCGATCAATGAGCTCTGAAATTTGTCTCTCTGTCCATAACATATTCTGTGTAATCCCTCAACAAGGCAGCCGATATTCCTCACGGACACATATATATATATGTAACATAGCATAATCTGAAATATTCAGCAATTTATTTTAATCTTTTGTAGAAAGTAATCTTGGATTTATCTGACAAAATCAAATCATGTTGGAACAATAATTAAAATTTTTCATGTGTATCCAAAACTTGTAGAAACTTGGTGGATCTTGCAAAAACTTTTTAAAACAAATTTGGATTTTGATCCCCCATGTATAAACAGAGCAAATCTTCTGTTCACAAAATAGTTGTATATATACACAGTTATTCTTCTAGAGAGTCAGTAAACCATGCAGACTAACATAGATACAATCTAACCCATACATAGAATTACCAACTTTCGTTTTTGTATTCGTATCAGAAGTCACTGACTTTACAAAAAAGGAAAAAGGTATATTTGAACCATTGCCAAACTCTTTACATTATCTACATATAACAGCTGTAAGCTGCTTGTCAAAGCCCTAGTGCCCTATTACCAGGAACATTGCATTAAACCACTGCCCTTTATAAATCCCTTGTGTTTAATTTTACATGCTCATGTCCTCCACAAATATACAAACTACTGAATAAATGCTGCTGATACAGTTTACTATTTAAAGAGGTCAATAGAAACTGCTCGTTCTGTAGGATGCCAACATTATAGTTAATTCTAGAATAAGAGGCTCATGGGCCACAATGCTCACTTGAGTAATTTCAGCCCTGCTGTTCTCCAAAAGATTAAGAGCATTTTATCTTCCAATGAAAAAAATATGACTTATATTATGGCCCATCCTAATTCTAAGAGGTCTCTGATTGTACACAAGATAGGGATTCTTCAATATCAATGTGACTAGCAAGAAGAAATTCTCTTTCTTTATACAAGCATTATTAAAAACTTTATCCAGATTAGATTTTTAAAAATGTTTTCTTATATAGTCCAATGTAAACCTCTGTTATGGCTCCATCATATCCCAAGGGCAATGATTTGAACAATTTAGAATCAACATCATATTTTTTTTAAGAAAGTTTTTACGTAAGTTTCAACATTTCAAATTTTACAAACTCTCTCCTATTTATTCCATATATGGATGACTTTGACCCCCTATTTGGGCCCATCTTACTCAAGGGGGTGAAGATTTCAACAATTTAGAATCCACATTATGTCAGGAAGCTTTCACATAAATTTCATCTCTTCTGGTCCAGTGGTTCAAAAGAAGAAGATTTTTTTTTTTTTTTAAAAATTGTCTATATATTTTAACATAAAACTTTTATCCCCTAATGTGGCCCCATCCTTTCCCAGGGGCCACAATTTGAACAATTTAGAATCTACACAACCTCAGGATGCTTTTACATTATTAAGTCTTTCTACAATTTTTTATGTAAACTTTGATCTCCTATTATGGCCCCACCCTACCCCTAGAGGCTATCATTTGAACAATATACAATCTGCACTACCTCAGGAAGCTTTCACATAAGTTTTATCTTTTCTGGCCTGGTGGTTCTTGAGAAAAAGTCTTTTTTAATGATCCCAATTCTTTTGCCTTTTCTTGATTATCTCCCCTTGGAAGGGGTTTGGTCATTCATTTGAACAATTTAGAATCCTAGTTTACCTAAGGATGCTTTGTACCAGGTTTGATTAGAATTGCCTGAAATGTTCTTGAGAAAAAGTTAAAAATGTGAAAAGTTCACAAATGGACAAACAAACTGACAGACACTGGACAACAAGTGATCAGGAAAGCTCACATGAGCTTTCAGTTCAGGTGAGCTAAAAATCCTATTTGTAGGCATGCTCATTGAAAGAAGATATTTGGACTTTTTTCCAATTACTTTCCCGGTAGAGTGATATTTATAGACACCTCAGAAAAGATATCAACCTAGTTTTTAAGATTTCCATCCTTTTGATAAAATGATCAGATCTAGTGAAAGAATGTACCAGGAAGAATGAAGAAAAATGCTGACACAAACAAGGCTAAACACAACACTAACATTGATGTTTCTCCTAATGTTACCCTCTCATTAATTACACAGGTACCTATTAGCAACAGTGAACACCGGTTTAATGACCTTTGCTATAAGTCCGTTCATTAACCAGATAATCTAAGAGGTCTGCACTGAGGGAGAGCTTCAAGCCATGGATCAGTAAAAAATAAACATTTGTACCCTGTCAAGGATATTTTATAACAATGTAGGCTTTCTGATGACGTATTTATGGACAATGACAATCATAATCACATCCGGTGTAGGAAGTCTAAACAGTGGGTCAATACTCTCAATTTATATTTAGCGGACTGTAAACAAAGTGGTTTTTTTTCATGATAACTAATCATTAGACCTTATAAAGCAAAAACATATGTATCACACCATACCGTAACCCTATAAACGTATGAATCATAAGTTATTTACTTGCATGGTATAATAATGTTGAATTACATTCTCATAATTTCTTTGAAGGGAAGACAAATATACAACTCTGACCTCGTATTGTTTACTAGGACATGTTTATCCTGGCAGTATCGTGCAACACCTTAGTACAACGCCTATACCAGAAGGGGTGGACATTTACACCCATCTTTAATTAGTATCTATATTGAGAAGTTGCATGATAATGGAACACCCGGCCTTCTCATTTTACATAGATTACCACCAAAGAAATCTTTCTTAATTTAAGTTTAATCTGAAGTTGACTGAATTCTCAATAATCTGTATTAAAAATGATCTCTAGTCTAAATCTGACAAAGATTGACAAATTACTTGAAGTTATGATAACACATTTATAATTCTGATGTTAAACAGAAACCAACCCTAGGTCTTAAAAGTAGGAAAACTTCACTGGTCCTCTCCTATAGTGACAACTCAGGGAGAACATCTGCATATATAGAAAGACTTGATCCTCCTACAGTTTACAATTAAACTTAACAACCCTTGTACTTTTAATATTCAATTTTGTCTATTTTTAAAAGTGGCATCAATAATTAGGTGTAACATTTTACAGCCAACCTGGTAGATCAATAATCATTGATGTGACAAAATTTGAGTGAAATATATAGTGAGGGGGCCTGTCTCTTGACCTCAAAATCACTATAGGGACCCATACTCCACACAAAATTTGAAATATTTATGAAGTTTGCTTCTTCTTTATGCTGTTGATTTAATTATTAAGAATCAGTTTCTAAAAAATTCATTTTATAAAACTCTATCATGATCCTGTGACCAGTCCTTCAATCATTTCATGTTTGATGACTATCATTCTTAAAATATTGAATGACAACTTTTTATGAAGGTATAATACATGTATATATATAATTGCTGTTGAAATAGATAAGATTGAATATTAGTCTTTTATTATTTCAATGAATGCCATGACATTTATATAAATCACAAAAAAGCAACTTATTTTTTGATTCTTAGGAAGTTGTGGCAATATTCTAAGCTTAAGGGCAAAGGAACTTATACATGTATGCCCAGGTCACCCATTGTACGTCCTTGATTTCAAATGTTTATAAACTGCGCAGTGCAAACTGTCATAGATCAGATATAAGTGCTCTTTCCCCATTAGCCATGTTAGCTTCTGCTATCACGACTCAAATTGTTTGACCTAGATCCCTGATGTAAACAAACCACAGCTGATTTCAATTTCTATAAATAGCTCCTTAGCCTCTCTACAGTTTAAAATTTTCTTTTGTTATTGATTTTTCCCTTCACAAAATGGGCAAAGGAAGAACTTATATCAATTTTTCCATTTAGGCTTTCTATAACTGCTGTTTTCAAACATCTAATTAAGGTAAGCTTTGACAATCACAGACATCTTTTTCACAATTTTATTGATGCAATTTTCATTTCTTTTTTCATACAGATATGAAAATGAGTAAGTCACCTATAACACCAAGAAACATCTTATTTTGTATGGTTATTGAAAATCAATGTGTTTCTGAGACAATTTTTTCAACACTGAAGGTAACATTCAGGTAACACATGTTATTAATAATTCATAAATCAGCAACCAACAGCACTATGTGTCCATTTTTTTGCCTGGAATTATTTTTTCTTTACTTTTTAAACTATTGTCATTAAAAATACCTATAGCTAACAATGCAAAATTTTTCATTTTTTTTTTGTACCATTAGCATAATTTGAAACAAAGGGTTTTCAGTTTCATTCTTTTCATGTGCATCTTAAACTAATAACTTCTCTTATGAAAATTAAAGTTACTTGCTTATTATTTGAATAAATTTACCTGGATTTTTAATTAACAAGGATAAAGATCAAAGGTCTCCATAATAACACACACATGACACAAGGGAATACACATTCAACCAATCAGCTGTTCATACTTCCCAAACAAAGAAAGTAGTTTTCAATGTTAATTTTTCTGATGATGCAACATTTTATTTTTCTAAAACAAATGCTCATAGCCAACTTATTCTGTAATTTTACACACTATTAAATATATTTGCTTCTGGATATGTTGCATGCCACTAATTTTTTTTCCCAAGAACAAAGGATGGACGAATTTCTTTGTTCAACGCATTTTCCTTTCAAACAAAACAACTTTCTGAAGACAATACATTTATTACCACTACAAAACATTAGCAGGCGAAGTCAGATTTAATCAAAAAACAAAAGTAAGCCACCAATATTTTAGCGCCATTTCAATGCAATACACAAGTGGTTCGACATGTCTGCTCCAAAACAAAAACATACACAAAGAAACAGGATAGCTGTGCATACTGACAGTGAAAACAAAGTGTACTTACGCTGTAATGCCGCTTGTACAGTAATGTCAAACCCTGCTGGTGCAAACCAGGCTGTCTTTAAGCTGGTGTCCAAAAATTTTCAATCCGTTACCACATTCAAGGGTATTCAGCTCTGTCTGTGTTTACCTTCTTCTCGGAAATACCGTGACGTAAAAGTCACGTGTCCCAGCACAGCAACGTAAACAATGCCATGTGACTTGCATACAACACGAGTTTAGGTATCGTGCAGTTGCAAGTAAGTGACCATATAAAGAAGTTGAGGAATAGGAGCAGCAATAATGCATACAAAGAACTCCATATAGATGTATGCCAAACTGGAGCAAATTATAGACCCGCACTAAGTTCTGTTACACTAATATATATATTACGCAAATCCATTCATTGGGTCAAATACAGGAAATATTTGCAGTTATTTTGTTACCTGTAAAAATGTGAATCTTATTTGAGTAATACTTTTATTTAAAATTAGTTTGTGAAACGGATTATCAAATATGTCCTGAAAACTCGCTATCACTTGTCTGAATGGATCTATATACTGCATAACACAAATATTTACACTGTATATATGCAAAACAACTATCAAGGCCAGGTGGTTTATTTTTGCATTCGCCTAACTGACAAGAAACAAAGATGTTTATGAATAAGTTGATAAAAACTGAGATGACACAAAATGAAGACATACTTTTAAAAACCTTCTCCGTAATTTTTGATTATTTACAAAGATATAATGTCATTTTCTGCTAAGAAACACCAGGGACTTATATAAATATAGGTCCCGGGATCAAGATAGAAACTTTCTCTCTCTCTCTCTCTCTCTCTTTAATAATTTATCTCTGTTGGATTAAAAGTAAATAGCAAACGGACGATCATCTTGTCTACTGGGATTCCTTACAAAGCCTACGAAGTACATCTATGTCCAAAGATAATTCAAGATATAAAAAAGAAGAGGAAAACGCGAATTGAAGACATACTCTTTGTTGACATCATGTTATTAATAGGCAATTCCAAGTTTTTTCTTCTTTTTAGTGTCCACGCATCGTTCAAAAACCTTCCTATTCGCTAAAAACACACAAGAAAAAAAAAATTAAAAAAAAAACATACAATGACGTCAATCAAAAGATTTCATTTCATTAACCTTGTTTTCTTGTAGAAAGATTTTTTTTAACAAAATGAAGGTATTAAATGCTTAAAATATACATATATGACATATTGTCGAGAAATATTCAGAAAAATTGACAGAATTGATATATTTTGACCATTATTCAATTTCAGGATTCCTGATTTTGTTTTTTTTTCTTCTGATATGGATGTCAAAAACCAATGCGCACGAGGACGCTAAACATAGATAACAGTTGGAATGGCCTTAATGTAGCCCCCCTCCCAGGCTTTCTTTCACTCATACAGATGAAGAGAAGGCCTTTCTGATTCTTCTAGTTCATGCATAACAAAGAAAGAAAGTAGAGACACTTTCGAGAGGGTAGGGCACTGGGATACCCTGCCCCCTTAATCTGTCTTTTCCTTTGGTACAGACTGAAGAGACAAACCAAGTTGCCTTTAGGGTTTTAGGGTTTTGTGAATACATGTGGCGTCTTATTATATTTACTTACATAAATATTGATATTTAAAACCTTTACAATTCATATTTAAATATTAATTTACATGCACTGTTGTTAAAAATGGGACCCACCTTCAATTTAAAACAATCTATTGTACAGCTTGACAATAAGTATACATGTATAAGGTGGAATTGTCACAGTAGCTGATCGCAATGACCATATTCCGATAGGAAGGAACTGTTGAACACGATTATTTACTCGGATGTAAAAGAAATCAAAGCCATACGCGGATCCAGGAATTTTTTTTTATAAGAGGTCCACACATGCACTTAAGGAAAAAAGAAAATTCTGCCTCTGAAATTTTTTGACAAACAAGCAATAAACAAAACAAACTCAAACCCGAAAAACAAACTTACTAGGGGTCCATTTTTCTAATGGTGGTGGGGGGGGGATAGGATGAGGATTTTAAGGTCATTTTTTATGAATTCATTTTTTGAACCTTAACAAAAGTGTTTTTGTCGAAAAGAAAATAGGGGGTGGTGAGTAAGGATTAGCCCTTGAAAGCTAGTCAAAAAAGTTTCAAATAGGCTATCATAGAGCAAAGGCTTTTTTATGCATATGTATATTCAAGACCGATGGTTTTTAAAATCCCAAGGCTTTGTTCATACTTAAGGGTAGAAGGAAGTGACAGCAGTCTGGGAGGGCAAAATTACTTAACACTGCAATTTATGGTTAGGTTCAGAACATTCCATTGATCATTGGCAACTTAAGTTTGAAAGGAAGTGATTTGATAACATTGCAAAACACAAAAATACAAATATGGCACAGCAACAATGGTAAAATGTAGGAGATGTAAGTATAGGTGCCTAGGATTTTTTTTACTTCCTGAATTCATCACTGTGGATAATCCCCAAAGTTTCACTGTCTGAGACTTTCACACATCCATCATCAACAAAAAACTCTAGAAAATTTTGGACCATCTAGCATGGACCTTCAAACTCCAAAACTAAACTGCAATTCAAGCACTTACTTCATTGGATGTTGACATCGTACAAAGTTCTGTAACCAAATCTAGGATAGCTATTGCCCTTAAAGTTAATAATAGAAGAAAATAAATTTATAGGGATAATGATGCAAAAAAAAAAAAAAAAGAAAAAAAAAAGGGAAATAAACAAAAGGAAAATCAACAAAGGAAAAAATTGTTCAAGTCTGATAATCCAGTAATTATAGAAACCTTCTGTTAAGAACAATAGAGACAAGGATCACCATCAACCCGGCATTATAAACAGAAAAAAAAAATCACGATGTTTTACTTCGAAGGAAAAATGAACATCAAGGTATGACAGTGAAAAGGGAAGACAAAGTATCTGGACTGTACAGAAAAAAGTTGCATTGTCATGGACTCCAAAATTTTAGATAGTATCCAATATTCCAGATAAACTGTTGCTGGAACATTCACGCACATCATGACTGACAATGTCGGTCTAGATCAGACACATTGTTGCTGGAGCATTTACTCACATCATGCAGACAATGGTAGTCCAGAATATTCTTAACTTGTTGATTCACATCATGCGGGCAGTGGTCTAGGGGAGATGAGCAAGGAGACACCACAAAGAGAAAGTTGTCTAAGACAGGGTAAAAAGGGGGTCAAGATGAAAATAAGATATCTGAAAGATGAACAATCATGATATACTCTATCTCCTTTGAAAAAAGAGGGAATCATTTATCCATTTTATTCTAACAAATCTGCTCAAATTTCATGATAAATTTGCTGCAAATAATATTCAAGTTGCCTGAATAAATGTTAATCACAAATAATTTTTTTTATGGTCAAACAATTTCACGGAAACCCATTTAGGACATACCACATTTTATCAAAGGAATGTCGAATTTGTTTAAACGAATTTGATTCGTTATAATAAATTTTGAATTCGTTATAACGAATTTAATCTGACGTAACAAATGTGTTAAATTAATTATAATTTCAATATGTAAGGTAGGAAGAAGTTTGTTTTTAGAACATCATGAGCAGCATCAAACTTTATGAAGAGAATTTTGAAAAGTTCACGTTGAGTGAATACCCCCTCGGTCAACCTACAGCTACGCTATTTAAGGACACACTTTCATCTAAATACTAAGCCCTCTACCCATGAAAACTTTTGACCCAGAGTATTCCAATAATCTAAATCACGAATGTTATTCTTATGTGACACAAACGTTTATGATCTACAATGGACTTGTGAAAGTATTACTGAGAGTTGATGAGAACAATTAAAGATATCTGATGAGAACCTTTAAAGCTTGGTAGAAGCAACGACACACATACAATTTCCCCATTGAGATGGGATGAAAAGGTTTTTAAAGAGATCTAAAGGACTACCAAACACTCAACGAAGATTCCTGTCTAGTATCCATGAAGGAAATGCTCAGGACATGGTTGAAAGTCAAACACGAGCACAGTGACTCGTCAATCTGTTACATGTAAGCGTGTTCCAGAAAGTATATATATGGCAAGCCCTTTTACTATTTATTCGTAAAACAAATTTTCACTCAAAATTACAGAGATATCTCTTATTTTAGAGAGATATCTCTTAAAAAACAGAGATATCTCTCAACTTAAAGAGATATCTCTGAAATTAAAGAGATATCTCTCTAAGAAAGAGATATCTCTTTCACTTAGAGAGATATCTCTTACACTAAGAGAGATATCTCTTTCACTTAGAGAGATATCTCTTTCACTTAGATATCTCTTTCACTTAAAGAGATATCTCTTTTCCTTTGAGAGATATCTCTTTCGTTAAGAGAGATATCTCTTAGCGTTAAAGAGATATCTCTTTCACTTAGAGAGATATCTCTTTCAACCAGAAAGATATCTCTTTTACTTTGAGAGATATCTTTCCAAGTTAAAGAGATATCTCTCAAAGTAAAAGAGATATCTCTCTAAGTGAAAGAGATATCTCTCTTAGTGTAAGAAATATCTCTCTAAATTTATCTTAAGCGATATCTCTCAAAGTGAAAGAGATATCTTTCAAAAGTGTCCAAAAGAGATATCTCTCAAGCAAAAAGAGATATCTCTTTACTGTAAAGAGATATCTCTTTACATTATTTAAAAAGCATTTTTAATGACTTCTCCCTTTACCGGAAGTAAGCTTTATATTCACGGCTAGGGTTGAGCCAGCTAGAACAGGCAAAACAATCAAGTTTTACTTTGGAAGATGGGGGGGGGGGGGGGGGAGGGGAAATCTGCTTATAAAGAACAACATGGCCATAGTGACTAAGGTGATCATTGTGGCCATGGGCCTTTTGATTTCATGTTTTTCTAGACTAAGTGCAGTTGCAGACCACTGTATTTAATTTGAAAAGATCAGTTACATGTACTGATTATTGAAACATCCCCTACAAATTTTTTCTGTCATTGTTTCAGATATGAAGTGCAACAAGGGTATGTCCAACACACTTTCTGTGACACTTGTCTTTGAATGCGAAGGATGTCCAAGATTCCAGTGATTGTAACAAGTCAATATGATTACCTGAAAAAGTGCGAG